AATGTATCTGTAATTCTGTAATTCTGTAATATGTAAATGTATCTGTAATTCTGCAATTCTGTAATATGTAAATGTATCTGTAATCCTGTAATTCTGTAATTCTGCAAATCTTATATATAAATAAACTTTCATGTAACAAATTTTTTTATAATGAACAAGAGACCAAGAAAAGAACCAAGCAATTCTATTAATTGTGGCAGACAATTTACAGGTGTATGGAGGCAATTTATTCAAGGGTTAAGGAAAAGGAAATGGTATATATGAAGGTGAATGTATAAGTTGTCATAAAAAATGGGCATTTGCAAAACCTGGAATCTTACATTCTCATTTAGCAAATGCTGTATGGTAAGAAACAGCAAAATTTGTCAATCCATAAACTTGAAAGTCTGGCTAAAGTTTATAGATATAATATATCAGAAGTTGCACAAACTACTAATCATTTGAAGAGAAGTAAGGTAGAAATGACACAAGATGAAATTCAAGATTTATTAAATAAATCTATGGAAGAAGAAGAAGGGGAAGAAGAAGAGGGTGATGATGAGAATGATGTGGTTGAGAATGAAATTAGTATCACAACAGAAGAATCAAATATTCCAGATTGTGAATTAGATGTACAAGTTGTGATTGAATTTAATTCTTGTGTTTTTGAAATGTTTAATGAAAACAATATAATAGAAGAATTAGATGTGGATTTTTTGATGAAGAGACTGGAGGTGATGATTATGATCCCATAGAAGTAGCTCATGAATCAATGGGTTTTGAAGATTATTACAATGTATAATAATATATATTTTTTATAATTTTTTAAATTTAAAAAGTTTATGAATAAAGTTTATGATTTCATTTGTGTAAACTGCAAAAATTTTTGATTTGATTATAATTTTCAATTACATAACATATTTATTACAGAATTACAGAATTACAGATACATTTACATATTACAGAATTACAGAATTACAGATAAATTTACATATTACAGATTTTCTGACAGCTGCATACTTGAAAAGTTGTCATATTACAGAATGGCCAAACTATTTACAGATGGCATCATTAGTGTGGATCACATAATATTTCAAATTTTAACTTTCGAGTATAGATGTTCCGCATTGTATAATAATTTTACATGCACAAATTTAGAAACTATCTCCCAGAAATTCAAAATTTGATTGGATAATACTGTTACACGAGACGATTGCGCGGATTGAAATTTCAACACTGATTTATTATTATGATTTTAATCCCTACTCCATACTCAATAATTACATAAAAAAACTTCTGATGTCATTGTTAAGACCATTAATCAAAAATAACAATAACAATTTTTTCACAAAGGTAGTGATTGATGTAAGCGGTAAGGTAATTTTTGATTATTTGTCAAATTAACGTTTCACTATATGATTATTGTTGTTATTATTGACAAAAATTAATTTTGTTACTGTAGATGATAATGCGACTTTACCTTTTAAACAAGCAATCTTTTTAGAAGAAGAAGATTTGAATGTAATGTCTTTTTTTTGATTATATATATGTATCTGTTTCAAAGCAATTAACTGTCATACCTTCTATTTGCTTTAGCTTTTTTTAGTAGGATATCGCTTTCATAGATATCGTTTTTATATTTATTGTCTTCTATGCATTTTGACTTGTGGTGGTTTCTACCTTCTTGGTAGATGGATTCCAAAACTGTGGTTATTGTTGGTTGGTGATGCTTGTGAATTGGGAAAAGCTGAATTGATAGCAGTAAAGGTTTTTATAAATTTCATTTACTTGACTTAAATTTTTTGAAATATATATTTAATGTCTTATAAGCTTGTTAATTTATAGGATCAATGTGATGAGATTTCTATTGAACATGTTGTTAAAAAATATTATGGCGATACAATATCCTCGGCTTTCTCGCCTGATCAATTTGATGAAGTTGATACTACCAGACTATCTACTTATTCATCAGATGAAATTCTACATTACATACATTATTTTGATTATCGACATATTCGATTCATTTATCACCCTAAATTGGAAAAGTTCCTACAAAATAGGTATGTGAATAGCTTAAGGCTGATATTCTATTACAAATTGATTTTAATATTTACACGATTGAAAATTATTTAATATTCAGTTATTGGAAGGATCCTTCATGGGTATCCACCAAATTACTTAAAAATGGAATAACTCGTGACACTCATAACGCTCGTGAAATTATATTTGGTTCAAATTTGATAGATATTCAAGAAAAGTCTGTTTATCAACTATTGTTGGATGAGGTTAAAATAATTAAATTTTCCAAATAAATTTATGTCAAAACTATTGTTTTTTAATATTCAAATAATATTTATTATCGATTTCCTAGGTTCTAAATCCATTTTACATATTTCAAGCCTTTTCGATGCTTCTTTGGTTTTGTGACGAATATTACTATTATGCCACTTGTATCTTTATTATATCAGCAATTAGTATCATTTCAACGTTAATAGAAACAAAACAGGTATATAAATTCAATTACGTGTATATTACATGTCATTTTTAACAATAATCTCTATATTTAAAATTAATTAATAAATTACTTTTATTAATGTTAATAGACTATTGCAAGACTTCGTGAAATGTCAAAATTTGTGTGTGGTGTCCGAATTTATAGAGGGGGGCTATGTATGTAGAATTATTTTGTGTTTTCGCATTTCATATCTTTATTAAAAAAGTTTTTTTTGTAGGGAGACACGTATCTTCAGAAAATTTAGTGCCTGGTGATGTATTTGAAATTTCAGACCCGAAACTTTATGTTTTCCCTTGTGACGCAGTTTTATTAAGTGGGGATTGTATTGTGAATGAAAGCATGCTTACTGGTATTATAAACATTTCAATTTTAATTTAATTTGAAGATTTTGTAACCATATAGTAATTATTGAATTGTCATCAGGCGAGTCAATCCCTGTATCAAAATTGCCTATAACAGATGCTGCATTAAGATTATTGGATTTGTCATCTGCTAATGTCATACCTGAGGTTGCCAAACATTTTCTTTTTGCAGGAACAAAAATCGTTCGTGTCCGAAAGCAGAAAATTGGTGTAAATTCTTCAGGAAGTGATAGTAACTTTATGATAGATGATGAGAGTGCGGCATTGGCTATGGTTGTAAGAACTGGTATATAATTATTTTATCCATTTTCAAATTTGTTAAAAGACATATTATCAATTATTTTGATTTTTGATTTTTGACTTTAGGTTTCAATACAACTAAGGGATCTTTGATTCGATCGATTTTATTTCCTAAGCCAAACAGTTTTAAATTTTATCGTGATTCCTTCAAGTTTATAGGAATATTGTCTGCTATTGGTAAAATGTTTTATATAAAAAAGAATTTTCTATATTTAATATATATATATATATACACACACACACACACACATACTAATATTGTAAATCCATCACTTAAATAAAATTTTTTTCAAAAGCTTCCATTGGGTTTATAATAAGCACTATTAATTTTATTAGGATGAGAGTTAAAGTATCTTTGATCATATTGAGGGCACTTGATTTAATCACTGTTGTGGTTCCTCCAGCATTACCAACTACAATGAGTATTGGTACTAGTTTTGCTATTCAAAGATTGAAAAAATCGGGGATATTTTGTATTAGTCCTCCAAGGTAAATAATAATATTTTAATTAACGATTCTTAGAGTGATGGCTAAATATCGAAATTTTGATTTTTAGAGTTAATATGGGAGGAAAATTAAATGTAATGTGTTTTGACAAAACTGGTACTCTCACGGAAGATGGATTGGATGTGTTGGGAATCAGATATGTAGATTATAGCAGCAACAGGTACATTATATTTTAATAATTATATTTATAATATGTAAACTAGCAAGTAACTTTTAATTCGAATATTTTAGATTCTCGGAGTTATATACAAACATTGAAACCCTTTGTCCAAAAAATGATAATGATTCCTTGGTTAACATGAAAAACGTTTTTCCAAATTCAAAAATCGAACCGATTTTGTTTGCTATGACAACATGCCATTCTCTTAAATTGGTGAATAACGAATTGATTGGTGATCCACTTGATTTAAAGATGTTTCAGTTTACTAAATGGATATTGGAGGAAAGTGGGCAAGGAAGTTCAACTGCCAATTCATTGGGAATTACAAATGGTTCATCTCCAAATAGTCCAATAACTGGTGGTATAGTGCCAACTGTTGTAAGACCTCCTGGTGGCAGACAATTCGATTTAACTGACATTTTAGGTAATGAAGAGCGTAATGGTGAATCAAAGGTAAATGGTGTGATTATATTTTTTCTAAATATTTTTTTATTAAATTTTAAATAAATTAATATTTTAATTTTAAATTTAATCATTAGGCAAATCAACTTTTTGAATTGGGGATTATTCGTACTTTTGAATTTGTTTCATCATTGCGCCGTATGAGTGTACTTGTTAAACGACTTAGAAGTAATACTATAGAAGTTTATGTCAAAGGTGCACCTGAAGTAATGAGAGAAATTTGTGTTCCGGATTCATGTTTGTACATCATAATTAGCGATAAAATTTAATTCTGTTGTAACAAAATTTTAATATTGATTGTTTAATTATTTTAAAGTTCCTACAGATTACAATGAATTATTAAATTACTATACACATCATGGATTTCGTGTCATAGCGTGCGCATATAAAAGCTTTACTGATTTGAGTTGGATGAAAGCACAAAAGATTAAAAGGTTTGTTCGTATTGTCAAATTTTTGTGTTGATATACTTGTTAGAATTTTGCTTAATTGTGTTTTTTAAATACCAAAGAGAACAGGTTGAACAAGGCCTGCAATTTCTTGGGTTAATTATATTTGAAAATAAATTAAAGCCTGGTACAGCCCCTGTAATCAATACTCTTAAAAAAGCAAATATGCGACAAATTATGTGTACAGGTAATTTATTTATAAATTGTCCAAAAAACTTTTATATAATAAAACCCTAATTTTCTTCCATCATTTTAGGTGACAATGTATTGACTGCAATTAGTGTATCTCGTGAATGTGGCTTAATTAATCCGGATGGAAAGATATATGTTCCGCGATTTTCCCAAGGTACTTCATCAGATCCTCAAACAACAATCATTTGGGAAAGTTTGAAAGATGTGAATGATCTTTTGGACTCGGATACTTTGAAGGTGTTGGTCATTTTATAATATATAATATATTTTTTTATTTAATTTTTATTTATTTCCTTATTAATATTACTATTTTTATGACTCAATTTAAGCCTTGTTTATCAAACAATAATTTAAACGCACCTCCTATAGGTCTTTATGATTATACCCTTGCAGTTACAGGAGATGTTTTTCGATGGATAGTTGACAACTGTGATGAACTTATATTATATAGAGTAATTATTTGTTTTTGTAATTAATTTAAATTGACTCTTGATTTTAACACTTAATTACTTATAAATTAATAGATGCTTGTTAAGGGGCATGTATTTGCTCGAATGTCACCAGATGAAAAACACGAACTAGTAGAAAAACTGCAAGAAATGGGATATTCTGTTGGATTTTGTGGTGATGGAGCAAATGACATTGGTGCGCTTAAAGGTGCAGATGTTGGAATATCATTGTCAGAGGCAGAAGCATCTGTTGCTGCTCCTTTTACAAGTCGTAAAATGGAAATTGATTGTGTTATAGAGGTTATAAAGTAAGTCATTATTTATGAATTGATTTTTTAATTAGCGATCGAATAAAAATTTTCTATTAATTTGATATATTTATGTTTTATCAGAGAGGGTCGTGCAGCTCTTGTTACTAGTTTTAGTTGTTTCAAGTTCATGACTTTATATAGTATTATTCAATTCACTACAGTTAGTATACTCTATTCTTTTGGTTCTAATTTGGCGGATTTTCAGGTTATTTAATTATTTTGATATTTTTTAAAGTGATATTTAATTGATAGATCAATTTTCTAAATATTTTTGTTTTTAACCACATAGTTTTTATATATCGATTTATTCCTAACTTTACCGATAGCTATATTAAGTAAGAATTCATCAAACCAAATTAAATTTTTATAATTTGATTGAATCTAATATAAATAAAATTTCTAATAGTGGGACAAACAGGACCTTATCATAATATACATCCTAAACGTCCAACTGCAAACTTGGTATCCAAAAGTGTCCTTACTCCACTTTTAGGTCAAATTTTTATTCAATCTGGATTTCAATTCTTTGTATTTTTACTTGTAAGAAGACAGCCGTGGTGAGCAATCATAACTTTATAGTATAACGATTGATTTTATAATTATCGATCTTATGATTTTAATGTAATAAAAATATTCATTTTTGGCGATTAAAAGGTATAGACCACCTAAATACGATCCAGATGACGAAAAAATTAAATGTCACGAAAATACTGTCTTATTTTTAATATCGTGCTTTCAATACATACTAATGGCAATAGTATTTAGCGTTGGGCCTCCATATAGAAAACCTATAACGAGTAATGGTAAGTTATCTATAACCAACATTTCCCTATTTTTTTTTTTTTGATAAAAAGTTTATTTAACGTTATTTTTATTTATTATTTTAATAAGTTCCGTTTATCATTACAATCACATTCCTTACGATTTTATCAATGATTATACTTTTATTTCCTGCTGATTTTGTGAAACGACTTCTTGAACTTGAGACGATCCATTCAAATTTTCAATTCTACTTATTATTTATTGTATTTTTAAATTTTAATGTCTCATGGTTTGCTGAAAAATATTTTTTTAGACATTTGACACAATTTATTGGTATTTTTATTAGTAAGGACAAAGAAAATGATAAGAAATTATATAAAAAAATATTATAGCAACTTTAAAACCAATAATGAATTTTTTAATATTTAAAAATCTTATTAATTGAATTCGAAAGATTGATTCTTGATATTTAGCAATTGAATCAGAAATTTAAATATTATATTCATAAATATCGTATTGAAACTGCATACAATTTCTCTTTTTTTCCAATCAAGGGTTGTAAAACATCTTGTGTAAAATTGGTTTATATGCTTAATTTTGCTGTTATTGGCTAACGGGGTTTTTAAAGGAATGTCCCAAATGGATTTAATATTATGATGTTACGCACTGTAATAGTAATAGTGTCAAAATTCACAAATAAAAAACTTTTGTCACGCACATATAGATTTATCTTATTGATATTAATTAGATTTGTCAATCAACCAATATCGAATACCCCAACAACAAACCCATTTGACGAAATATTTTTTACACCAAAATATTTTCGTCACCCAACCTTGAATCAGACAAAGACAAAGATTTATTTTTAAATCACAAAGTATGTCTTGATGATTCAAGAACTATGAGATTATTAATTACACTTCAAAGAGAGAGAAGGGATTTACCTATACATTTTCTAAGGTTTAATTAAATTTATAATTATTATTTATTATCTATTATTCTTATTATTTAAACTTTCCTACAAGTTTTTTATATAATTTCGAAATTGATTTTCTCTTCCAAATCATCAAACCAATAATTAAAAATAATAATACAAATACAACAATTAATACTGCAATTAATACTGTCTTTGTTCCTTCTTTAATTGTTCCTCTGCCAGGTGGTAAAGTAACATAATATGGATCTTCTTTTGAATTAATTACTTGATAAGCCATCAAACTTTGGAATGGTACATTATAATCCAATGCAGCCTACAAAAACATAATATTTAATTTCTTTCAAAATAATAATAATAATAATAGTAGTAGTAGTAGTAGTAGTAGTAACAGTACCTCAGTTTCACCATAATTAGTTCGATCGTCAAGAAATTCATCTGTTTGGTTGGGTCCACCAATAATACAACCATATAAAATATGTAGAGTCTCAGGAGGATCATTCAAATTTCTTATGTTAGTGCCGCCATGTGCACCAGCATGGTGGGGGTTTTGAGGTGAATTGGGGTGAACACCAATGACATAAGGAATTTTTAAGGGATTTTTTCCCAACAAGTAATTAATTTGTGAATTGGCAAAATCATTATAACTATTAGATTTTGATGTGGAAGTGGCTAAAGGTGAATACAATAAAGACACAAAAGCTGCATTAAGAGCAGGATTTAAAGACGCTGCATTGCTGTCACCATCACAAAAGTATAATCCGCCATTTGTAAATTTACATCCATCAGATGATGCACTTGAAACACCATCTAAATATCTTTCTGATTCTTTTGTCCATCTACTATTATCTTGATTGGATTCTTTGATTAGTTTAGCAAATAACACATAACAGGCACCAGTTTTATCATTCCAATTAATAACCTTATTTAAACCACCTAAAGCAAAGGTATCAAAATAATTTATGGCTTTGTTCATATAATCTTGAATCTTTGTTGCTCGATATAACCAAAGTGAAGCCCAAACTAATTCATCACCATATTCTGAAGAAGAATAAAATTCATTAACCTCAGGGACGGAGTCTTGATATTTGACGAATGGAGTTGTTTCTGCAAATTCGTATAAAGATTTTGCATGTGATAACAAAGTATCAGCATAAACTGTATCGTTTAGTTTTTCTCGAAATAATATAGAGGCGGATGCCATTGCAGCTGCAGCTTCAGCAACAACATCTGTTCCATGAGCAGAAGAATTTACATTAAGTGATGGACGCGGTAAAGGAATTCTAAATAAAACAATACAACATTCTTTAATATTTTTTTTTAAATCCCCCACCCAAAAAAAAATAACGTAAATTAAATTAACCCTGTATCAGGTCCCCAGTAATTATGATCTATATCACCTAATCCAATTTGAACGTATAAAGTATTTTTGTCAGGATGAGCTTTTATTAGCCAATCTGTTCCCCATCTAATCATATCTTGAAGATACTGAGTTTGATTTGCAAGTTGATATCCATCAAACCATTCGTATGCACCCCATGATAAAGATGTAATTGTCCAGGATAATGGTAAAGTAAATTTTAAATAATCGCCTAAAATTTTTTAAGATGGTGGTGGTTATGATCCTTTAACTATTAAATAATTTTTCTATTGCTAATTAAGCGAAATCAATTGATAATAAAACATACCAGCATCATAATATCCCTACGTGTTTAAGATTAAATTAAAAACTTGTAAAATAATATATCATTTTAATAATTACGTATGGTATACTTACGCCACTGAGATCTAGTTTAACATCCTGACCATCTGTCAATGCAGAATCCTTTCTCCTAATTGATAATAATTGATTTGATTGATTTAATTAATCTATCAATGTATCAATAAAAAATTTTTTTTTTAATTACCAAGTTACTCTGTTATTTGGGAGTAATTTACCACTTCTCTGAGCTTCATAAAAATATAAAGAATAAGAAAGCAACTTTGTGTATTCATAGTTTGGATACGTTTTATTAATGTTTTTTGGTATACCAGCTATATCAGGAGCAGGAATTGCGTAATTTTGTGGTTTAACTGATACTATATTTAATATAAACAGTAGTATTAATATTAAAAAAATCATTTCTCAAAGAATTGATTTTTTTAATTAATTATTTGTAATGAAAGAAAAATAAACAAATTTATAAATTAAAGATTTTTGTTTTATTGTAATAAAACACGAATTAATTCTTTTTTAACCTTTTTTAGTAAAAAAACAAAAAATTGCATTATTTATTATTAGTGTTATTATCGCATAGTAAATACATTCATCAAAAAAATAATATTTTTTTTATTAGCAGGAAAGTTTAAACAATTGGTTATATTTGATATAAGATATGTCTTTTTTTTATTATTGTAAAAATAGGTTTTTACTTTAAAGCACTTACAAATCTTTTATAAATATAAATTATATTTGGGAAATAAAAACGAACTAGCGATTTGTATCACTATTTTTTATTACACAAATTTAATTAATTAAATAATTAATTAAACGTGTAAAGCCTGCCGCATCAGGAAAACTAATAGCAATACGTATATTCTGCACAATTATAGGGGGTTTAATGTAGAATGAGAATATAGTTAATTCGTGATCCGTGAAACATCTGCAAAATTTTCATAACAGAATTTGGCGCAAAATTTTGCAGATCACTAATTAAAATTTTCTGGACTCCAACTTTCACCCCCAACGTGACCACCCTTTATATCTATATAAACTAAAATTGTACTTTTAACACATGATATGAATCTCGAAGTTTAAATATACAAATTTTCAAAGGGACTTT